TTTCACGTTTGTACTCCCAGCACATGGGAAGCGGGTGGGGTGGAAAGATTGCTATGGGTTCAAGGCCAGCTGGGGTACATCATGAGTTTCAAGGCTAACCTGTAATTTCAACCATTTGGAGGTTGAGGCAGAAAGAGTGCAGGAAGTTTCTGCGTATCTTAGCTCAGAGTGAGACACTGACTTCTAGCCCCATCACCCGACAAAGAAGTGTGGGGGGGAGTTCAAGAAGTTCTTGGATGCTCTCTCCCAGTCCCAGCTTGGATCACAGCGCTTCGCGGCGCACGAGACCTGCGTGTCCACCTTTGTCCGCAGGGAGGCGCTGTGCTAACCGTGGTCTGGCCGCTCTAGGCTGCGGCAGCGGCACCGGAAGCCTCATTCTCCCTGCGCTTCCGCTCTCTGCCCGGGCTGGAGCTGCGTGGAGCCAGACTTCGCGATGCCGACTGGCGACTTTGAGTGAGCGTGGGGTGGCGGCAGGGTCTCCAGAGAGGCGGTGTGGGGGCAGCTCTGGGGTGTATGGTGGCCCGGGCGGCGCGGGGGCCAGGATCCGCTCACCGATCTCGTGTCCCCGCAGCTCGAAGCCCAGCTGGGCCGACCAGGTGGAAGAGGAGGGCGAGGATGGTGAGTGCTTGTGCCGCGGCCCTGGCCGCTGCGATACCCCAGGACTCACGCTCAGGCTAGAGCCGCGCGGGGCTGCCCGCTGCCCTCTCCACCCCCGCCTTGCGCTCTGCCCCCGAAGCGAGTGTCACCCCCAAACCCTCCACTTGGCTTGATAGTTCCAGCCCTGGAGCTCATTTTTCTTCCCCCCCCGCGTTTCCTCTGGCAGACAAGTGTGTCACCAGCGAACTCCTGAAAGGAATCCCTTTGCCCACCGGTGACACCAGTCCAGAGCCTGAGTTACTGCCTGGAGGTGAGCTTCGTCAGTCCCTGCCTCCTCCCTCCCTCCCTCCCTTCCTACCCTCAAGCCTATTTTTTCAGCCAGTTCCCATGGCCCAGGACTCAGTTTCTGTCATCTTTCTCCAGATCCACTGCCACCTCCCAAGGAAGTCATCAACGGGAACATAAAGACGGTGACCGAGTACAAGATAGATGAAGAGGGCAAGAAGTTCAAGGTGAGGTCGGCGCAGACGTTCGGTGTTCCTCTGTGTTCAGAGCAGGGGTGCGGGTACTTTGGGTGGGTGAGAAAGTTCCTGAGACTCCGGAAGCACTCCTCTGCCCGTCCATCTTTAGATTGTCAGAACCTTCAGGATTGAGACCCGGAAGGCATCAAAGGCTGTGGCCAGGAGGAAGGTGAGCCCCTCCTACCTCCATTACTGGGCGTGGGGGGGTACCCTACAGCCGACTGGAGGAGTTTGGGAAGCTCTTTCTTGTCTTTCTTGTTGATATAGAATTAAGGATTAGTGTCTGGCGCCCGGAGTTGATGAGGTTAGGTGTTTGTTGTTTTGTTTTGTTTTTTTCCTGTTTAGTTTGTGCGTGTGCAAAGTGTCATTCCTCCAGCACATTCTGCTTTTTTGTTTGTTTGAGACAGCGAGCGTTTCTCTATGTAGTCGTGCTGTCCTGGAACTTACACTGTAGACCAGGCTGGCCTCAAATTCAGAAAACCTGCCTCTGCCTCCAAAGCACTAGGATTAAAGGTATATACCACCACAGCCCAGCACATGCTTAACATAGTCTATGACAGTTTGGGATCAAGCTCTTTCTTGAGTGGACAGCAAGCCCTTTTTCACACTGAGCCACTTCACCAGCACCCTTTTTCCCCTTTGCTTGCTTTTTATCTAGTTACTTGGTTTTTGTTTTTTTTTGAGACAGGGCCTCACCTAGCTCAGGCTGCTTCTGAGTTGGTGTATCTCAGGGTTGTCCGGTTACCACCTCAAGTCTTAGGGTGACAGTCAAGCAGCACCATGTCTCGCTTAGGAAATGGGAATTGTCACCACTATCACATAGATGGCCTCTAGAGAGACTAGAACATAGGATTCAAGGCCCTGATGTGGTTGTCTGTCTGGGGTACCTCACTGGGGGATCCTGCCTGACTTTGTTCCCACTTTTCCTTATCCTTCTGGGACCCAGAATTGGAAGAAGTTTGGCAACTCGGAGTTTGACCCACCGGGGCCCAATGTGGCCACCACCACAGTCAGTGATGATGTCTCCATGACCTTCATCACCAGCAAAGAGGTGAGCAGGGTGAAGCTGGAGCTCAGAAGTGCAGTTGGGGGAGGGTGGGCAGGGCACAGCCGCCCCTTCTGAGCCATCCCACTTGTTCCCCGCCAGGACCTAAACTGCCAGGAGGAAGAGGACCCAATGAACAAGCTCAAGGGCCAGAAGATCGTGTCCTGCCGAATCTGCAAGGGCGACCACTGGACCACTCGCTGCCCCTACAAGGACACACTGGGGCCCATGCAGAGGGAGCTGGCTGAGCAGCTGGGCCTGTCCACCGGGGAGAAGGAGAAGCTGCCAGGAGGTCTGGGCCTGGGGGACCTGGGAGAGGCCTCCGCTCATCCCTTTGCCGTGTGCCGTTTTCTTTCCACAGCATGTAGCCAAATTTGAGCAGCTTGGGGCATGGCTGTTCCTATGTGTGTGGCTGATGACCTACTCTCGCATGTGTGTATTGCACATACATACAGGCAATGCCCATGTTCTGGGCTCAGTGCGGCTCTGTAGGTGGAAATCTAATGGGTCTGGTGGGTAGCTGCCTCCTGTGATGTACACGGAGCTCTGCTTTTGACCATCATGAATGAGCAAGCAGCTTAAGTCACATGCCTGCAGTCTGGATGCCGTGGGGCTGTGGGTGCCAGGATCGTGTCTGCCCTTCCGCTTGTTCGCTTTGCCCATGTTGTCAGCAGGGGCTCTGAAGGGTCCTGAATGTGACATTTGGGTCACCAGAGGATGACTGGATGCCTACGGCTGGGGCTGAATGTTACTTTTGATCCCTATTTTCCAGAGCTGGAGCCCGTACAGGCTGCCCAGAACAAAACAGGAAAGTATGTGCCCCCAAGTCTCCGGGACGGGGCCAGCCGCCGTGGGGAGTCTATGCAGCCAAACCGCAGAGGTGAGGAGGGAGGGGCAGCCCAGGTAGCAGGTGGCTGGCCCGACGCTGTCATTACTCCTGCATTGTGCGGGTGGGGTCCAGCTATGGCATGCTTCTCACTGCTCCCCACCCTGCCCTGCCCACAAAGCCGACGACAATGCCACCATCCGTGTTACTAACCTGTCTGAGGACACCCGTGAGACTGACCTGCAGGAGCTCTTCCGGCCTTTTGGCTCCATCTCTCGCATCTACTTGGCCAAGGACAAGACCACTGGCCAGTCCAAGGTGGATGGGCTGGTCTGAGGAGTGGGCGTCTGGAAAGTGGGGTCCTGTGACTGACCCACTTCTTACTACCTGAATGTCTGCTTCTGCCCCCAGGGCTTTGCTTTTATTAGCTTCCACCGCCGGGAGGATGCTGCACGCGCCATTGCAGGGGTGTCTGGCTTTGGCTATGACCACCTCATCCTCAATGTCGAGTGGGCCAAGTAAGAAACCCCACCCCCTTCCCATGTTCTCCCTAGCCCAGTTACGTGGTTGCCAGGCCTGTCTGAAGGAAAGCTCTGTATTGTCCCCTGGGAAAAGCACTGGCAGGCAAGGCCTAGGCTCCCCTGGTATGCCAGGTGTAGTCCCAGGCACCTTCAGGATCAGTCCCCACTAGTATCCTTACCACCTCCCCTTCCCTCTTTTCCAGACCATCTACGAACTAAGAAGAGACCTGCCACGTGCTGCTGTCACCCAGACCATCAGGGACAGAAAGCCTTCAGTAAACAGACTCCAAATAGACTCGTGTCCTGCTTGTTTTTGTGGGTCTCCCTGTGAGGGTTGGCACTGAGGTCTTACAAAAGACCTGGCTAGATGGGAGTCAGCCTTCATTGGTGAGGCACCAGCCTTGAGGGGTAACTGGAGGACCAAGAGGCTTAAGGGTGCATATTGTCTGGAGCTAAAGCAGGGCCCCAGCTCCAGTTCCTTCTAAGCCTGCGACTCGTTGGTGTAGCTGGGGCAGCCATCCATGCAGCGCAAGGTGTTCATGTGGAACATTTGTATGATGTGGTAGGGCACACAGGAGCAGGCCTAGATGGCCACGCCATCAGGTGCCAACATAACGCACAGCTTCTGGGCTGCGGTCCTGCTGCCTGTGCAGCAGCACCAGCCCCAGGGCACTGTGTGCCATTGTGTGAGCAGCAGAGAAAGGACACCACCCAGGACTGCCAACACCAGGCTGGAGGTTCTGCAGGGCTTTAGCTGGCTGTCCATCATCCTTTAGGCACTTGTTGCAGGAGACAGGATTGCACATCCTGGGACATGCAGGTTGGTGGGGCCTGTTTCTGGTACCAAGCATGATCCAGCCAGTAACACTGACAAGCCAGGCATGCCTGGGTAGAAAGCCTGTGAAGAAAGGCTGTGGAGGCTGATGCAGGTGATACTGCTGCCGCCCAGCAGGTCGCAGGCGGCCACAAAGCACTCCAGGTGGCAGGCCACCTCCCTGAAGCCCTAGTGTTTGGGTGAGTAGAGAAGTAGGCAGAGGAGGTGTCAATGCATGGTATTGCTGACTGCCAGCTGCACAGAGAAGACCACAACTTAAGTGCCAGGGCCTTGGCTCTTGGGTCGTAAGGCAGTACAGGGCCAAGCCATTGCCACCTGCCGTCTCCACCCAGAGCAGTTCTGGTCCACACTCCCCTCATGTTGCCGAATCCTCTACAACCACCAGAAAGTCCCCAAAGAAATCAGCGTCTCCATTCTAGTCTTCGCATTCTCCACAATCCCACCCCCAATTTACAAAGCCCTGCATTCTCCTCGCCAGCAAGCAGCCATCTCCATCAACAAGGTAGCCTCTTTTAGGTACATGCAACACTCTTAAGGACTACCTACCTCTGGCCTGGTCACTTCCTCCTCATACACCTGCACCTGTCTCTTGGCCTGTCACAACCAAGTACTGTTAACTCTGTCCCCACCTCAACTAGAGAGAAGATTAAAAAAAAAAAAAAAAAGTCAGGTTTATTGGAGAAAGGAAGTGGACAGTTCCTTTATAAAAGGAAACCGGGCTGCGCTGGAGCCCAAGCAGATCCCGGGCCCCAATCTGGGGCATCCATGGTCCATCCACTGCGAGGCAGTGAGGCAGCTTCAAGTTCCTCGCCTTGGTGTTGGACCCCTGTCCCGGCGTGTGGCTCTGGGTCCCGGCTTGGTCTTGACTCTTTGGGATCGACCCTGCAGCTTTGGAGGCCGCCAGTTGCCACCCTGACCTCGGCCCAAGCCAGGCCTCTGCTCCTTCCCTCTTTGCTTCTTGCCCTGAGGCCCTCCCTGCCGTCTCCGCTTGGCCGTTCTGGGGAACAGGTCTGTGGAAAGACAAATACTCCATGTCCTCAGGAGGAAATAAAGAAAGGGCCCCGGGTGTCACAGCAGACCCTGCTACACACCTTCGTCAGGCTCCTCGCCCACAGCCTGGCGAAAATACTCAGCATCGTCCTCATCTTCCTCAAGCTGGCCGGCCCCCTCTGCCTCTGGAGGTGCCCCTGGGTCCTCAGCATCACTGTCACCGTCAGCCTTTGCACGGGCCCGCTTCATGCCTGCCAGGCTCTTTTTCCTGGAGGAGTGTGTCATGAGCCAGTTTGCCCAGGTGCCCAAGCTCCCACCCACCTTTCTTGCCCAGTGCCTCTGTGTACTTGTGGGCCTCCCGAAGTTCCTGCTTGCGCTGCAAGTTCTCAGCCTGTTGGTTCTGACGTTGTGCTTTGAGCCGTAGCTTCTCCTCCTTTGCTGCCAGGATGGCCTGCAGCTCCTCCTCCGTCTTGTGCACTGAGGAAGGACCAGACATATCTGTCAAGGTCACAGCAGGACTGAGCACTGCTCTCACAGGTTGGCCTCACCCTGTCCCCTCACCAAAACTGTGGAAGAGGACATTGCCGTTTCCAACACCCTCCTGGATCTTAATGAGCTGCAGTGTCATCCGGGGCCCGATCTGGAAACAGGGATGGGAAGAGTCAGTCTCGCCTTGGGACTGGGGGCTTCGAGAGCCACCGTGAGCACCCCTCACCTCTGTAAGTCTGATGGCACTCTGCTGGGCCTGCATGTTCCCACGTCCGGCCACAGCCTGGGGCAGCTCTGTGATATTGTGTTCTCCATCTGGCTCTACCTCACTCTCTGACAGTACCACACCCCTGCGGAGGATAACAGGTCACCTGGGGTGTTCCGCCTGGGCTGCAGACCCCTGAAGCTGCACCTGCCACCACCCATTTTCTCACGAGGCCAGCAGCTCACTGATGTCCTGCAATCGGCTCATGTTGGGAAACTTCTCCTGCAGAAGTTTCTTCATGCCCCGGCTTGCCCCGACTGGAACCACTTTGATGCTGCTGTAGTGGTGAGAGCAGAGGGAGGGGTGAAGGGTCACGGAGTCCAAGGTCAGCTCCTTGATCCCCCGCTTCTGTGCATGCATCAGGGCGTTTACTTTGAGTCTGAGCAATCACACAGTCTCAGCAGCAAAGTTCTCATCAGGTGCACGGGGTGTCCCACCCTGAGTCCCTCCCACCAACACTCACTAGTGTCGGAAGTCCAGCTCCTGGGAGTCGGGGTTGTAGTTAATGAGGAGGCATCTCTTAATGGTGTTCAGGTTTACCTGGGGGCCAGGGAGATGGGACCTGTGAGATGCCTGTGGTCTAAGTGCTGAAGCCAGAGACTACAACTGGGTGGGAGAGCTGGTTCTCTCCTGCAGTGTGTTCAGGAGTACTAGGAGTGGCCCACAGGTGTCTACAAACTGTCTGGAACCTATCAGACTTCTTACTAAATGGGGCCTTGTGCCAGGAATGTATATGAAACTACAGTCTTGCTGGGTGGCTGAGGCAAGAAGATCACAAGTCTATGCCCAGCCTGGGCTAACATATGACCTCGGGTCAAGAAAAAGGGGCAGGAGAAGCCAGAGAGATGGCTCAGAGGTTAAGAGCACTAGCTGCTTTTCCAAAGGTCCTGAGTTCAATTGCCAGCAACCACATGGTGGCTCACAACAATCTATGAGACTTGGTACCCTTTTCTGGCTTGCTGGCCTACATGCAGACAGAACACTATACATAAAAAAAAAAAAAAAAAAAAAAAAAAAAAGGTGGAGGAGCAGAAATTCAAGTCCAGTCTCAGCAACAACATTGGAGGCCAGCCTGAGACACATGAGGTCCTGTCTCTGTAACAAAACCACGTCAACGCCAGCCCCGTCTTTGAATTTAAGATCAAGTCAGTGGCTTCACACCAGTGGCTCCCTCCATACGAGGACCAAACAAAACACTGGCCTCCAATACTGCTCCCTGCCCACCCCCAGCAGCAGCCTGGAGATCTGGCCCACCGTATGCACGTTGATGGACGGGAACAGGTTCTGGAACATGGTGGCCATGAGCTTGACGTGCATGCCCTGGACCCCGAAGCTGTTGAGCACCAGGAGGGGCGGGTGGTTGAACTGCTGCTCATGCATCCGGTGCCGGCGTAAGGAAGAGACAACATCCCGCACTAGTGTGTACTAAAAAGGAGGGGAGAGGCTGAGGACCCCCTGTGTGGCCAGGGCCCTCCCCAGGCAACCTGGGCGCATAGCACCTCTACCCCTCACCTTATTGATCTGGAAGGTCAGAGTGGGGCCGCCTGGGAGGCGCATCAGCTTCTGCCAAGGAAAGGATGGGTGAGGGTGGAGGTGTCTGGCTAGGGAGTAGGACAAAGGGCGAGGCTTGCTCCATTGCTTCAGAGCGTTTACTTTGAAGCCAGCATCACAACAGCTCAGGGCAGTGGGCTCATCATGAGACAGGAGCAGCTGGGATGGAGGGAGGGAAAGGCATGGTGTGGCGCCCACTCACCAAGTATACACTGCTGTCCGTTTTGCTCAAAATGATAAAGTGTGTGACCCCAAGGGGGCCAGCCACTGCCACACAGTCCTTCAGGGAGTTCTTTTTTCGAACCTGGTAATTGGAGAAAGGAATAGATACAGGTGTTTCTTACTGAGCAAAAAAGCTTAAACTGAGGATTCTGAGATGTTATTCCTGACCACCACCCCGCTTTCTGGAGGTTCTGAGGATTTAACTATATACCTAAGCTGCAGCCCCAGTACTCAAGAGTAACTTTTATAAAGTATTTCTTTTGCGTAAGCACGTAGGGGCGTATAGGTGGAGGTCAGAGGACAACCTTCGGGGGTTGGTTCACCTCCTCCACTACATGGGGTCCGGGAATTGAACTGGGCAAGCCCCCTTCCCTCTGAGTTCTCTCTCGATTGTCCACCCCATCCCCCGGGCGCGCCTTTATTACTTTTTTACAGAAGACATCCACTATGTAACCTCGGCTGGCCTCCACCCGGACCTCCCCCCCTGGTGTAGGCTGCGATTTCGCCCCTACACCAGTATGCCTGGTTCGAGCCGTGCCGGGGATTCAGCCGGGGCTCGCACAAGGAAGGAAGGGGCTCTGCTACTTAATTTAACCGTCCACCTCTGGCCCCAAGTCCTCCCCGGGGTCCCTCGCTGCTGCCCCGGGACGGGAGCTGAGGCTGCACACCTGCAGGCGGGTGGCGGTGAGGGGCTCCATGACCCGCCGTACATCCAGGCTGAGCTGCTGGACACTGCGACCTGCGCGGCCTCGCGTGAACACGAACGAGTGAGGCTGTGCGGCGTAGGCCTCGAGGTTGCGGAGCTGCGCCTGGGCGCGAGCGCGCTTCTGGTGCCGGGACTGCGGGGACGACAGGGGCGCGGTGAGCACCCCGGCCTGGGTCGCGACCCCACCGGCGCCCCACGCCCGCCCGGGCCGCCGCGCCTCACCCGTCCAGACTGCCCCATGCTGCCTGCTTCTCCACGAGGCCGCCTCTGTAGCCGCTTCCGTCGCGCAGCGCTCACTTCCGACGCAGGAGGCTCAACGGGGGCCGACTTATGCGCTGCGTGACCAACTTCCGGCGACGTGTCGCTCGTAGTGCTTCCCACTTCCGGTGCGCCCACCGCTGACGTCAGCTAGCAGTGTTGCTGGGATCCTTGAGGGAACAAACTCTTTGCAGGATTTTTTTGTTTTGCTTTGCTTCTCAGGACAGGGTTTCCCTATGTAGCCCTTACTATCCTGGGCTCGCCTCGAACTCTCAGAGATCCGCCTGCCTCCGCCTCCCGAATGCTGAGATTAAAGGTGTGGGCAACCACTCGCCCACCTTGTTTTCGCAAGGTGTTCGAAACCTTTTATCTCGCTCTCTCTTTCTCTTTTTTTTTTTTTTTTCTTTTTCAGACAGATTTTTTTTTTCCCCCCTGAAACAGATATTACTTATGCAGGCCAAGCTGAACTGCAGCTAACAAAGATCTGCTTGCCTAGGCTGAGCGTTGCGACCAGCCTGGCTAGACAGGGTCATTTATTTATATAAATGTATATATATATATATGTGTGTGTGTGTGTGTGTATACATTTATATAAATGAATATATATATATATAACATACATACGTACATATGTATGTAATATATATTAAAAATATATGTGACAGGATCTCACAGTGTAGCCCTGGCTGGCTCAACTCACACAGGACTGCGGGATTCTTCCAAGCACTGGGGTTAAAGGCATGCACCCCCACGTCGCCCCTCCCCGAATCAACGTCAGTAATTTATTTATAACTGCGGTGGTGCATACGCCAAGGCACACATGAGGTCAGAGGATAACTTGTAAGAGTTGGTTCTCTCCTGCCGTATGAGGGCTGGGCATGGAATTCAGGTCTTCAGACTTGGTGGCAGCTGTCTACTCACTGAGCCATCTTGCCAGAACCCTAAACATGTTTTAAATTGTTATTTTATGTACATGGGTGTTTTGCATGCGTGAATGTTTGTGTGCCTGGTGCCTGTGGCGGGTGCCTGTGTAAGAAGAGGGCATCCTAGAGAGGGAACTAGAATTACAGATGGTTGTGAGCTGCCGTGAGGGTGCTGGGAATTGAACCTGGATCCTAGGCAAAAGCAACAAGTACTTTTAACCCTGAGTGCTCTCTGCATCCAGTTTTATTGTACAATCAGCTTATCGAGTATTGGATTTCCTTATGGCTTTTAATACATCCTTAGTTTAGGCTGACCCTGCCTTCATTTTTCTCTTTCTTCCTGGTAGGCATACATTTTTTCCTACTTTATTGGGTGCCTATATCTACCACCCTTCTCCATCCCAATCCCTTCCAACCCTCAACAGTAGGCAGATGAGAAAAAAAGGTTAGAGGAGAAAGGAGCCATAGACCTCTTTAGACTACTTTCTGCTGATCAGGGGCAGAGGGTTCCTTGGGACAAGGAAGTTTGACCTGGGCTATCAGAATATTTCAATTTTTTCTTCTTGTCTCTTTGTGCATGACTGCCTGACAAGCCACAGCAAGCGGCAACCAGCCAACAGCAGCAATGGGAACAATCACAACAATAGGAAAAGTGTTTCGGCCTGTTCCTTTCGGGTAGCATAACTATGGCCATATTGTTTCAGCCCCACCAGCCCCCTTATCTCGGCTCATTGCTGTTGTAAAATAATCTCTGTACAAGGTCAGGTTAACCATAAACTATGTTATGTTTAAGGAGAAACTCTATGGCTTTGTTGTTCCTAGACATTCTCCAACCATAAGCCCAGTTGGCCCCAGTTGCCAAGCACACTTTCAAGGTCAGGTAGAACTGCTTGCCCACCTAGTAAAAATAACTTGGGTCAGAGCTGACTACCCTGTTCCATTCACACCCCCTATATGTGGTAATTGAAGTTTTTGCCTTTGTAAACGGACTCCAGGACACACTCAATGTCACAACTTGGCTCTCATGTCCACTGTGTCCCTGACCATGGTCAGTCTTGGGGTGTTGTGTCCAATAAATCATCTGATTGAGATCGGTGTCCAAATGGTTTGTGCAGCTTCTTCTGGACCCTATCAAGAAGTAGCTTGGCATTGGTAGGTTCTGGCATTTATCCCCTCTGAAAAGTTGCCAGAATTCCAAAGGTCACACACTCTAAGGAACATATTTGCAGCTGGCAAACCCACGACCCTCCAAGAGCACAAGATAAATCATAGTTAGCAGCTGTGGACAATCTGAAGTGGCCCCATTTCCCACACCTGGGATTAAAACAGAAACATATTCATATAACACAACTTGGTTTACAAAGAAGCCAAAATTCTCCCTACACTTCCATCCCTTTCCTTCCTCCCTGGCTTTCTTTTCTCCTCCCCATTCTTTCACCATGCAGCCCTAGCCAGCCTTGGACTCGGCATCCTCCTGCTGAGTTGGCATCCTGCCTCCCCATCTGTTGTATTTTAACAACCATTTCTTAACTGTCCCGTCTCCCTGCCCTTAATGAAGGAAGATGCCATATGAATCCTAGGCACATTGCTCCCTGGCACTTAGGGAACAGCCAGTCAAGGGAGTGGACCCCGAATGGCCCATTATCTTTGTTTCCTCAGCAGAGCTGAGGGCCAGCTCTGCTCCCCAGGATCCCTGTCTACAGATGGGCAGAAGCGTGGAATGGAAGCTTCCTTTGGAAGTCAAGTACTCTTGAGTTTCTCATTCCTCCCTCTTCCATTTGCCCCCCTCCCACACCAACCATCTCAGCCACAGGACTCTGGCTTCTTCCTGAAAAACCTTTCAGTGAAGGGAAGGACACTCACCCAGGAGCATGCATCTGATAAGTCCCTTCCTAATTCTCCCTCTTCACTTTTTATTTTGCTGGAACCCCACCTGGCTTCCTACTCTTAGCCCTCCCCTTACGATATTGTCAGCAACTTTCCTCTTTCATTATATCGAAAGTTTCATCTTTCTCCTGTTCCTGTCTCCATCCATCTCAGGCCTATTGCTGCCTCCTAAGCACTCTTGTCCGTTAGTCCTTTTCTGTGACTTCTGAGGTTTCTTCTTTCTGCTGGCAATGGAGAAGCAAAGGGTTTTCTCTGTAGCCCAGGGCTGGCGGCTGCTTTCTTTTCTTCTTCTTCTTCTTCTTCTTCTTCTTCTTCTTCTTCTTCTTCTT